ATTTTATTATAAACAATTGTCTTGTAAATGGAATTTTTAAAGCATTCTGAATGTAAAAATAAATAAAAAAAAAGTGTGCAAGACAATAAGAAACACTACCTGCCAAAAAAATTGAAGTTTTGTTGAAATTAGTTGAAAAATGTAGGAAATCCGATCCCATATATAAATGAACACACACACACACACAACCTGGGTTTTATAATAAGAATAAATCTATATGAGTTGTCCCCCTTTCATTTTTGCGATGCCTCTTAATCGTGTTTTCAAATTTATTTCGTGCAAAAACAATTTTTGGCGCTGTCAGAACCACCGCAAGGTAATTTTATGTAGTCCTGTGAAGTTTTGTTGAAATCGGTTGAAAAATGTAGAAAATCCGATCCAATATATAAATGTACAGACACACACACACACACACACAATCTGCGTTTTATAACAAGTAAGATTGTCAGATTTAATCCGTTCCATAATATATTTTCAATGTTTGTATTAAGGTATGTTCAGCAAGCAGATATGATCGTTTGAGACAGATCATTGAAGATTTGTTATTTATAAACGGTAATTCAGACTTTCTTTGTGGCTGAATGGTTAGCAGCACATCAGATCCAATGATCATTTCCTTTGAGGTTACAGGTTCAATTCCTGTCAGAGAAGCACATATTTTCTATGAAATTTCTCAAACATACAGGCTGGTAAAAGTAATTAATACTGTTTATTTAAAAAAACAAGGCATTTACTTAAATAAATTGTGTCTATTAAAACAACATGTAAATTATATATATATATATATATATATATATATATATATATATATATTTAAATATAACAGACAATGAATTTCTATTATGTTTGATCATGACCTGTTTAAAGCTTTGTATAGTGGCTTTAGTTTCAGGAGAAAATAAAGACAAAAACTGTTGAACATTTAAATATTTCTTTGTTATGTTGTCCGTCAATCTAAGCTTTCAACTCAAATGTGCCATCATCAGAGTGGTTATATGGACATTACAACAGAGATGTTCACCATCAAAGATGACATCCTGTTATGTTTACATAGAAGTTTGCTATGTGACAGTAACAGTCATGGAATAGCAGATGCAGGTCATAAATTTGTAATGTGCTTCCATGATATTGTACATGACCATGTGAGATAAAAGAAATGTTATCAACAGGACCATATGTTTAAATTCATATATATAAAATGTTTAAATTCACACACACACACACACACACACACACACACACACACACACACATACACATATATATATATATATAATGTTTAAATTCATATATATATATATAATGTTTAAATTCATATATATATATATATATATATATATATATATATATATATATAAATTTAAATATATATATATATATAATTAAATTCATATATATATATATATATATATATATAATGTTTAAATTCATATATATATATATATATATATATATATATATATATATAATGTTTAAATTCATATATATATATATATATATATATATATATATATATATATATAAATATATGGATATAGATCCGACAGTATGAAGAAAAATATATACGGAAAAAACAAACAAAAATCTTATATACAATTTATACTGTTTTAATGTTAATATGTCAACGTCTTTGTCATGTTGTATTGATAATGTTATAATTTATGAATATGTCCTGAAGATGGTTTATTAGACCGAAATGTCCTACGTTGACATATTAACATTAAAACAGTATAAATTGTATATAAGAATTTTTGTTTGTTTTTTCCATATATATTTTTCTTCATATATACATATATATAAATTCATATACCAGTGTTGGTACTTGTAATATACAAATCTTACTTGTTGATTGTTTCCTGTTAACATTTACAGTAATTACTTCAGTCATGTAAGTATTTATCTTGGTGCTCTTTAATATAACTAATTTTCTTTTTAGTGAAGACCATTTTGAGTCTGCTGCCATTTAAAAAAAACATTCATAAAGAAATATATTTCAGAAATTACTTTGTAATTATTAATTTTGCTTTACCAATGGTAAAGTGCTGAACTAGTAAAACCGCTTAGTCACTAATAAGAAAAACTGATCTCAAAATAAGTTAATGGGCCTAAGCCATAAAACGTTGACACATCATTTCTCGTCTGCTCAGTTAAAGTTAAGCAATATCAATCCTGGTCAGTACCTAAGTAGGTAACTGCTTGGGAATACCAGATGCTGTAAGCTAGGATATGCAAGTGGTTTTAGTGGATAACAGCTTGCAATTGGAAATTGGAAAGCCAATTTGTTATATTCACTTAGCACAAATACCCTTGGGAAAGGTATGAATCCAACTCTTCTCCACCCCACTATGGGTTACTTAGTAGTACTTGTTTCAGTAAATTATTATTATCTCCAAAAAATCTTATGATCTAAAAATATTTTCTGGCTTTAAATAACCTGCAAGAGGCTGATAAACAATAAAAAACAAAATAATCAGAATCAGTTAAATATTAGATGTTTAAAGCATACAAAAAAGCACAATGAACCAATTTTTTTAGCAACAAACCTAGCAATTTATTTAATGAACAAAGTCAAAATTCTTATAGAATAATATTAATACATGTCTGAAGATTCATAACATGTAACTAAGTTTATAATATTAGCATAATATATATCTACATATGAAGAATGTACCTTAGTTAATCAGCTCCAAAGTTTGTATGTTTTAAAAATTTACTGTTAATAAAAAATATAGCAAATATCTGATCAACACTAAAATTTTATGAAGGATTGTATGGGATAGATGCTTTGTATCATGTAGAACCTCTTCTAAGATGGAAAACTGCAGTAAATTTGGCCTTGACAGGGGTGTCCAAACGTTTTTCAAAGAGGGCAAGACTTGGTGAGGTGAATATTCATGAGGGTGAACCATTCTGCTTGGCATTCTTTGAACCATTAAAATTAAATGCAAATAAACTATCTTATGAAAATTTTATTGCAAATGGTATATTTCCATTTTTTCACATGGATGCCAAATAAATTTAAACAAGTCTTACCAAAATCACTCAGCCTGTCATATCTGAAGCCAATATAAGATGAAGTAAAATATGTCTGAGAAAAATGAACTTCCAGTAAGCTATAATATATCTCAGATTAATCTTAAACATTGCATATTATTGGTAACTAGCAGTAGAGTCCGGCATTGCCCGGGGATGAAACAGTAAGAGATAGATCAAGTATTGACCATCATAAGTCTGAAAAATAAAATTGACAAAGATTATTGTTTAAGGTTGATGGACATGCATGTCTTAATTAGTTTTGTTTTTTTGTTTTTTTTTATGAATTGGTCAAACCCAAACTCAAACAAAAACATTGTTTTCAATCGTTATGAGTCTCTACCAATTGAATAGAATTTTATTATAAACAATTGTCTTGTAAATGGAATTTTTAAAGCATTCTGAATGTAAAAATAAAGAAAAAAGTGTGCAAGAGAATAAGAAACACTACCTGCCAAAAAAAAAAGTTTTGTTGAAATTAGTTGAAAAATGTAGGAAATCCGATCCCATATATAAACACACACACACACACACACACACAACATGGGTTTTATAATAAGTATAACTCGATATTGGTTGTCCCCCTTCCATTCTGGTGACAGAATCGTTTTATTGTGTTTTCAAATTGATTTTGTGCAAAAACAATTGTGTTTTTCCAATTTTTGGTGCTGTCAGAACCACCGCAAGGTAATTTTATGCAGTCCTGTGAAGTTTTGTTGAAATCAGTTGAAAAATGTAGAAAATCCGATCCAATATATAAATGTACAGACACACACACACACACACAATCTGCATTTTATAATAAGTAAGATTAATATTGTCTGTCAACTTTTAAGTTAAAACCATACAAATAGAAATCTAACACCAACATTCATCTTATTAAGAAGTAGAAAACAAAAAGTGACACAAGTCCAAGTGTTCAAATATATTTATAACTGATTTTGACCAACACAAATCAAATTTAATTCATTGAGATTTATAATTTATTTATCTTAGATGACCAAAACAAATAACTTGCCTGCACTAATCTGAAGAGTGATACCAATATCTGGACTGCACTATATAGGCCAGGTCTGGTTCAAAGGCAGGGATTTTAGAAATTGGCTGGAAAATGCCAAAGTCAGCGTCACACAATGCTGCTGTCATCTGTTGGCAAAACATGAAATTGCATTTCTTAGGTTTGTATTTTACATACTCTGATTGACAATACTGGTGGGCTGTAAGTGATACATTCTATGACAGAGCATGGGGGCCATATGAAATTTGACCACAGGCCATAATGTTGAGCTATACCATCTTGATATCTGTTCACAGCTCTCTGATGTTTTTAAGTTTAGGATCAAGTAACAAGCTAATTAAAATTGAATTTTTTAAATGTGTAGAGACAACAAAATTCGATGTAACGTTGTTGTGGAGAGGTTCAATTCCTGCGCACAATGACTAATACAGGTGTCTGGATTTTCAGCCACATTCATGTGCACTGCAGCAATGTTTTCAGCTGAATAGCGTAAATGAGCACGCAATAGTGTTTTCACATATGCCACCAACCCAATTTGTTTCAATTTAGGAAACATTTTTCCAATTGCACACTTGGTTGGTCGATTATGTTCACCAAAAAATCACAAAGTGCACGAATGCATTTCTGTTTGAATGTCCATTTTCATAATAGGCTTCAATAACTTTAACACATTGTTTAATTATTAATCTTTTCATGGTTGAAATTGCCACGGACTTAAGTTATTGAATCTGAAAGAAAAAGAAAAAAAATCATTAGATGCTTAAACTTAATTCACATTTAAAATCAGTCCATGTTATTGGAACACCCTTTATAAAGAATTACATTAATATCAATTTAAAAATTACTTCAATTATTATTACAATGAACTTTTGTAAAAATATGCAATTACCTTTTAAAATGTTTTTGTTGCACATTTTTTTTTTCATTTTTTCATTTTTATTTCTTACAGAATATGGGTTATGCACCAGACTTTGTACATTTTTCTTTGGTACCCTACCTTGAAATTATAAAAGATAAAGGTAAATTGTTTTGAAGTTCAGAATATGTTTATTTTTTTAAGTTAATTATGGAACCAAGCATGAAAAATCAATTGAACACTATTCAAATTTCAAGTGGAGCATAAGTATTAAATCTCTTTATGACAGACGTTTTTTTATTTATGTAAATTGGGTAACACCATGAAAAGTGGAATAGGCAAGCTGGGTTGAAATACTAGCTTAGTTTATATTTACTTTTGCACAACTTCCATTGAAAAAAGCATGGATCTGTATTTTCTTCTCCAGTTAGGGGTTAAATAGCAGATTATACTGGAATTTTAAGCCTTATGTTGCAACCAGCTTGCAAGAATGAAAACTCTGTATTCCAAACCATAGAGAAGGCGATGAGAGGCCATTCCATTATGTTCCCCAAGAATAATTGGCAATTCACAGGTAATAAAAAAGGCAAACATGGACAAACATACCTGCAATAAGATGGAGTGTCAAAAGACCTTTTTCCCCATGATGCTGTTTTTTTAACTACCTCTCACTCTTCTTTGACAATGTTTATTGTTTTAAAAAGTAATGATTAGAATTTTAATAAAACCTATATAGATGATGAAAGTGAATTTATACATTTTATTTATTCTTGAGAATTTACAACAAAATTAATAAACACTATGTATGTATAAGATTGTTTATTTACACTATTATTTATTTGAATGATTGGCAAAACATCAGGTAGTTGCCAACTGATTAAAACTTTATAAAATAATAAGGATTTCCTTATAATTGGTTCACATATTTTAATAATTTAATAAATATTTATAAATTTATGAATAAAAAATTGTTTTCATATTTATTTCTTTATAAATTGGTAAATGATAAATATTGCATTGCATTTAGTCAGTTATCTGACATGCGTGATACACGCTTTGGCGATCATGTATCTTTCGATACATAACTATCAAGGCAGACTTTTTCCCACAGTAGGTTGCTATTTCTTTATGCAGTAGACCAGTTGCCATCCAAGGCTATAGAACCCAGTCAGTCCTGCTATTTACCCATAGCTGGGGGAAGAAGAAGAAGATCCATACCTTTCCCAAAGGCATTAGAACGTAAATGAATGTAATGGATTCAACTGGAATTTGAACTCAGTTCTCTGATTCCTCAATCCGAGCTGCTATCCATTACTCCACTGTAATTGTATTAGTCTTTTAAAAGTTGTAAATATAAAATTATTCTTGTAAATAAACAATCTAATAAATAAATAGTTTTTAATATTTTTATTATAAATTCTCAAGAAGGAAAAAAAAATGATGTGTAAATTCACTTTCATGATATGTTTAGGTTTTATTACAATTTGTAATCATTGCTCTTTAAAACAATAAACATTACTAAGGAGTGAAGGTAGTTAAAATAGTAGTGGTGTCAAGGGAAAACTGTTCTTTTGACATTATGTCTTTATTGTGTGCAGGAAGGCTCATGTTTGCCAAAAAAAAATCTTTTGAGAGATTTCTGATGTTCTAACGGACTTGGCTTTTAAAAAAAGTTAATGATCTCTTTCACTTCCAAAATATAAACAAATTTAAAATAGAACTATAAATTTAATCTAAATTTGTCTCTAGTTATGGTGAACTATTCACGAAGAAATTTTTTTTTCAAATACAAAGACATCACCTCTTTACCAATTGTTTCTGTTGCTATTCATTGCTTTACTATTGATTTATTATTATGTAACTACTTAAAATAATATAAATAAAAAAATTCAACATTTTACTATATCTCTTACCATATATATTATCAGTTGAAAATCTAATTTTTATTATCAGTTTTATGTGTAAGTGGTGTAAAGGATAGTGTCTCGAAATGAAATTGAAGAGCTAGGTTCAAATTACAGTCAGGTTCATTACATTCACTTATATCTAAATAACCTTGGAAAAGATATGAATCCATCTCTCCCCAGTTATGAGTTAAATAGTAGAACGTCTATCTGGAATAATCATTGTTATTCTCAAAATATTGTTAATACAGTATTCCTTTGCAAAAAAAAAAAAATGAATGTCTTTTGACTTTAAATAACCACAAAGTGTTGACAAACAGTAAAAAGCTAATCAATCATTTCTCATTTATCTTTCAGCTATTTAAAACTTGCCAAAAACTCACTAATCTTTTGCCAATGTCAAATCTAATATGCTTAAAAAAGAAACAAATGTCATTTTATATTTTCTACCATATCTATATTAATAATTGTTTTTTTTTCACTATTTTTCTTCATATATTTATCTTCAAGCATAAAATATAAATATGAATTGGTACTTTGTGTTAATATAGAGAAACCAAATAACTTTCTTAGCGGATTGTTAAGGAATGTAAATTATAATTAATTTTATTATGTACTGCATTTTATTAATATGAATTATCATGAATTATATCAATATGTATTATAATGAATTGTATCAATGTGTATTATAATGAATTGTATCAATGTGTATTATAATGAATTGTATCAATGTGTATTATAATAAATTTTAGACAATTGTTTTATGGTATTTCATTTATTCTTTACTAATTCTGGATACTTTTGAAAGGCAAACATTAGTATCAAATGCAATCTGTTTCTTCAATACTTAGTAGCTTATGTGCAAATCACAATGAAAACACTGGTTCTCATTCAATCACTGGAGTTAAGCAGTGTAGAGGCCATTCAGAACCACTTGGAAACATTTGGTACTGTAAGCAGGATTTTGTTTTAAATAGCCCACAAAGCATTGATAAGCTGTAAAAATTACTCAATGCTTAGTAAATCATACTGACTTTTAGAATTACTTAATGTTAGGTATTTTACACTAATAGGTGATAAAGTATGTATCAGAAGAAAATATGTTGAAAAAACTACATATGGTAGTGTTGTATATTGTTGTTTTACAACATGTGATGAGTAGTCACTTTCTTGTCGTCGGAATTTATTCAACAATGTATTTATCCAATAACCAATATATGCAAATAGGTAAATTCCTATCTTGGTCTCATTTCATCTTTCGTGTCTGAGTCACTCCCACTATCATCCATATGTTCATTTTCTATTACATTTTCCTGATCTGAAGAACTCATTCTTTCTTCTTTGTCAAGATCTTCCTCTATCACAACAGGTAGTTTTTAAATCTTTCTATATTATATGAAAAAAATTACACATCAGATAAATTGAATCTACTAAGTACAAAGGTAAATTGTAATTTGAAAGACTACAAGGAGATAACAAAGGAAACTTATTCAACTTCAGATATTACAGTAACTAAAGAACAACATTTTATGAATACTAAACATATAAACAAGAGTACATCAGTTACAATAATTTTATTTTATATTGTATAATTTTATATTATCAATCAAATGAAGAAAAATATTATTCAAAGATTTACTATTAAATATCTGTTTATATTTTTTAAATAATGCATGAATATAATTAATAATAATAATATAAAAGCCAACAGACCTGATATCATAAAAGACAAGAAATTCAGGAAGCGTATATTTATTGACATAGCAGTACCATCTGAGATAAACACCTCCAAGAAAATTATTGAGTAATTGTCCAAATACAAGGAACTGGAGATTGCAATTAGCAGGATGTGGAGAATGAAGACTTAGACTGTACCAATAGTAATCAGAGCTCTGGGTCTCATGAGAAGAGATATGAAGAATTTTACTAACAGTGTCACAGGTAACATAAACATACAAGTTGCCCAGAAGATTGTCCTACTAGGAACATCCCATATACTAAGAAAAATGCTATCAATTAAATGACAATTCTCCTATAGGGCTTAAGGACCATAGTTTGGACCCAGTTCTACAGGATACAAAGCAGGAAATATAACATACACAAATGATAATAATAATAATATAATCAATGATGATAATAATAATAATATTCTTGTAACCTATGGAAGGTTACTGAATAGAATAATCACACAAAGGTCGGTAATGAATGATAATACATAGGACAAGAACAACACATAAGATTTGCCAGTGGCGCATAGAAGTAGTCAAGTGAATTCCACACTGAATCTCCAAGTGCAGACCTCAGACCAATACATCCAATATTCACTACTGTATTTATGGGAATGGGGGAATACCCATTATTGTCCGTAGGTATGCTACAATTAATATAATCAATGATAATAATAATAATATAATCAATAATAATAATGCCTGAATATAATTAGTAATTAGAGAAAATTCCCTGGTTTTAATTCTATCTTATAAAATGGGCATCAGGCTTTATGCACAACTTTTATTTAACAATAATTCAACATTTTTCTTAAATATATTTTTTGTAATTACAAGAAATATAGTGATCAAAATATATAGCTATTGTCAATAACATAGAGGCATTGTGAAACAATGGATTGTGACTGGGATTGGGGAATCAAAGTGCTGAGTTCAAATTCCACTTAAGTTTTTTAAATTCACTTATGTGCTAATACTCTCAATAAAGGTATGAATCAATCTCTTCTTCTCCTTAGCTATGGGTAAATAGCAGGACAGACTTGATCCTATAGCCTTGGGTAGCAACCAGTCTAGGAAAAGGACAACTCTGAATTCAAAAAGCTCCAACTATGGGTTAAATATCCTCACCAACCTGAAATTGGCTAAATATGGTGAGTATGGCTAGACATGGTCAATCAGGAGGGGTTCCTTCAACAGGAGTGAAGGCACTGGATTTGGATATGGATTTGTCAATAATAATAATAATATTTTTGTGGTAATTTTTCTGATGAGTTTTCTTCTTTGGTACCTTGACTTTTTGAATTTAAATGCAGTACTAGATTGGCAGCAAGGTCTCATCATTTTACATTTTGGTTGAAATAGCTAGATGTAATCATAAGTTCTATGCTAAGAATTTCTTCTATCACAATTCTTGCTTATGGGACTCTCTTCCAGCTTCTTGCTTCCCAGGAAAATTTTGATCTTCAAAAGTTTAAATGTAATTGCTATCTTTTGTCTTCTTGATTCCTGTTTTTTATTATTCTTTTTCCTTAATAACGTTTTTCTTTTTCTCATATTCTTTTACACTCATTAGCCTCTTGTGTCTTAGAGACTTTATTGCCTTGCTTGGGGGTGAAATGATTAAAAAAAATAATAACCATGAATAAGTAATGCAATGTCATTATTTATATTATGACAATCACTTCTCCATTAATAATGGTGCTGAGATTTGTGTTGGTAAACAAAGGAATCCTTCAGACTTTTAAATAAATTACTTTGTAATCCCAAACACAAAATTGCAAAAACTAAAAATATTTAATCATTTATGTATTTAACAGAATTTTTAATAGGTCAAAAAGAAATTGAGTGAATAGCAGACAAGCTACATTGGGATTAGAAGCTTAACAACTAACCTTGCTTATCTGTTTATTTGTTTTAGTTTTGTATCAATTTACTTTCCTATAATTTAGGATTAACAGCCTTAATCTCTTATTGGATAATATCAGATTAACTTAAATTATTTTTATTAGTTATTGTTTCATATATTTTCCCTTACTTAATATTATTATTAATAAAAGGAAATGTGGATTTTGCCAGATTCTAATTTAATTAATTTCAGATCCATATTTAGATGTGATTATATCACATGTAATATCAGATATAAATGTATGAATTGGAAATTAATTAAATTATTAATGCCAAAATCCTGATTTTCTTTTTATTAATTAATTCTTATTTTACACATTTCACTTCAACATTCATCATTTTATATATTTATACTCAATTTTATATATATTTATACTCAATTTTATGTATATTTATACTTAATTTTATATATATAGTTATACTCAATTTTATAAATATAGTTATACTCAATTTTATATATATATATATATATATTTATAGTCAATTTATATATATATATATATATTCAATTTTATATATGTTTATAATCAATTTTATATATGTTTACACTCGATTTTGTATAAGTATGCAAAATTAAATATACACACAGATGCCATTATGCATAGACGTGATGTGCTCACAAATAATAAAACCAAAATACGGAATTTGAAGAGTGATATTGCTATAAACACTAATGCCAATATATGTATGATGAATACACAAGCAATATTAACAAATATAACATAGAATTTAAAAGCAGAAAAATAAATCTGAATCATTCTCTTCAAAAATTTATGAAGAACCTAAATAAATAATGAAATCTGTCAGCCTGACACTCCAGTGTCACCCACACCATGATAGCAAAATACAGGAAGCAACAGTCTACCAGTTATAAGTCAACGCTTGATTGGCATGAAGCAAAATGCCAGAGGTTACTTTCGATGAAGGGAGAGGTTATAGTGCCACATTGGACAGCTACCCTCTGCCTGAAGCATTCCTAGGCAATAAGGTGGTATCCTGTCACAGTCCATTTGCTTTACTGGATATATGGAGCTTAGGTTGGTCGGTTGGTTGATTATGTTTAGCATTATATTAACCTCTATAGATTATTTAATGCCAAAATCTAAATATTTTGAATATATTTTTATGGCTTCAACAAAATAGATATTATAAATAGGTATTTGTTGGTAATTTTACTAAAAATAAGTATTATTGGTATTTTTTATATACAAAAGTGGATTTTTATACTTTCATAATGTTTTGTTTTTGTTTGCAAATTCACTATTTGCCCATAGCTGGAACCCTAACAGGTGCTATCACCCTGGGTCGAAGTGGATCTGGGAACACCAACAATTAAGAAGTGATTCCACACCCCTCAAAACTTTCCTGATCAGACAGGGACTTAGGGACACAAGTATCCTGAATTGTGATCTGCAAAAACTGCACCAAGCAAAACAACAAGATTCAAAGAAAAAAAACCAGCATTCTGAATTGGATGTTAGAACATATGGTCTATGACAGCTTGTCTATCAGATGACCTTTGTGAGATCAACGATAGCCACAATACATCAGGGATTAACAACAAACTATTTCAGCTTCAAGTGTACACTGCAACACTTCAAGAGACATGGCTGGGAGTTGGGAACCCTTTATGAGAGAGAGTACACTAGTGGGGAAAAGGCAAAGATGAGAGAAAGCACAGTGTCAGCTTTGCCATGAAAAACTTGCTGTTAAGGATGGTGGAACTCAACAAGAATGGATCGGAGCAAATTTACTCACTTCAACCACATGCCTTTGATGGAACTCTCAACCTTGTCAGCGCTTACACCCAACTCTATAAATCTCACAAGACATTAAAGATGATTTTTATGAACAGTTAAGATACAAACTGTTCTGAAAGAGAAACAATTGCTAATATTTGCAATTCATATGATTTGGTAACTCTTATTCAGAAGCTTTTATTATCTACAGCAGTTTGAAGCAATGTTGTGTGCTTGCACCTACCTTATTCAGCATCTTCTTTGTAGTCATGCCGAAATGTGTGTTTGAGGCTTCAATTGAAACCTATGGTGTCTACCTACACACAAGAACAGACAGAAGGCTGTTCAGTTTATCTCAGCTGGGAGCAAAATCCAAATACTCTGAGGTGCACATTCAAAACATGCTGTTCGCAGATGATTCATTACTGGCAGTACACTCTGAAGAGCATCTGCAGCAACTACATCCTGGAGACTGTTCATGAATTCACATACTTTCTCTTCACCATATCAGACAGCCTCACCCTAGACACTGAGGTCACCAGATGGATTGGACAAGCTGCCACCACATTCACCAGGCTGAAGTTAACAAGACGGAGGATTCCCCCTATTAAGTCAACAGCCACATATCCATGACCATGGGGAGCCTTCAAGTCAAAGGACCGGCTATGGGTCTTTTTTAATCAAAATCACCTCAAACAAGGCAGTAATGCCACTAAGATACATGGAGTTACAGGGCGTGGAAGAATTAGGAATAGAAACATTAATGATGAGCAAAAAGAGAAAAGAGTAATCAGGTGGACAGTAAATTGATATTGCATTTAAATTTTTGAAGATTAAAGTTGGCTAAAAAGCATGGAACCAGAAGGGAGTTCCACAAGCAAAAGTACAAAAGAAAAAACTATTAGCATAAAACTAAAAATTTAAAAACTCTAGGTACCCTAGCAAAAAGCTCATTCAAACAATTAACATGAAAGTATTTATAGAAAAGACATAGAGAGGCAACCTTATGGTGGTGGGAAAATGACTGAAGCCAAGCCACCAGATCATGACCAATAATATTAGATTCTTTGGATTTTATCAAGAAGCTCAAGGTAAATAACAGGGGCACTGGACCATATGTGGCAGCAATATTCTAAGCATGCATGAATGGTGAGACTTATAGATATATAAGATGGAGTCTGGAGAGAAAAATTGTCTTGCCCGACATAGTGAACCGACTTTCTTAGTAGCTGACCTAACAACTTTGTTAAACCTAGTTTGACTTGATGATGGATGGGTTTACTTGCTTAAGATACTTGGCATCTCCTTGATTATCTTTCCAGCTTTCAACATTGATATGTGGAGGGAATTAGTCAGGTTCAAAACTGTTCAATGACCCTATGACCACATGCATTCAGAAGAATGATGAGGATGATGGAAATGATGAAGTTATTTCTATATCAAGCTTGTTGATTTCTTATCTGAGTTGGGTTATGTTCTATCTGAACTGCTCTTTACAAATTATGCCTGATTTAAACAAAATAATAGATCCAAGATAGTGTGAGAGACAGATTTAAGGTAAAAGTTATTATTTACAGGATGTTAAAGACAATTGTTTTATGCTTATGTAAGTGATTTTAAAATCAAATTATGAATGTTTACTTGCTTATGAATTTATTAATGTTGCAAAAAATTTATCTTGTTTTCCTGAAAAAAGGTATCAAGGTTGTCAGCAATGCTGGAGGTGTGAACCCACATGCTTGTGCCAAATTACTAAGAGAATTCTGTATGAAAAAGAATGTTGACCTCAAAATTGCTGTAGTAACAGGAGATGATTTGATGCTTAAGGTAATTTTCAAAATATCTACATGTATCTAACTAGCTAGCTAGCTATCTGTGCAAGTATACATGTATGTATGTATGTATGCATGCATGCATGAATAAATGACAATGAATGAATTCTCCAGATTTTTTTCTGGAACTGTCCCAAATCAAAATTTATAGTTCTGAGTAGCATAATAAAAACATCCATTAAAATGTTTATCATAATAAAAACCTCCATTAAAATGGTTAGGAAATAAATTAACAAAAACAAAATGCTGAAATATTAAAGTTTTAAAAATGAATTAATATGAAAACAAGCTAGTTAAATTTTACTGTCATTTTTATAAAAACCATCTTTTTTTATTTAAGCTTTTTATTTAAAATCACCTTAATTTTCATGCTCAGGGTAACTTTTATCATACTTTAAGAATTGTGCTCTATACATTCATATTCTATAGAAAGAATGATATAGCAATATATAATTTTGTATAATTTTATGCATCAACAGTACTTAGAAAATATAACATGCTGGAAAAGGTCTTGATCACTATCTAAGTCCTATATATATTTTTCAACCAATAAAACCCTATCAGAAGGTTTGTTGGTTAAACAATCATTACTAGGGCAAGTACCGCCAAAAATACTTGCAGATATAGTTGTAGACCTACCACATGTTATTTGTGGACCATTTAGAAAGTAACAATAATAACTTCCTTCACCACTCCTGTAAATTTGAGAAAAAGATTTTCACAAGCCAGTGTGAAATTATTTTCTAATCAATGAAAACCTTCTATTCAAAAATTTCACACCTCTATGTGAAATTAGATTTTGAATCCCCTTATGGATATAAAAATAGAAGCATACTACTTCTTGGGTCTCAGAACAATTTCAGATGCTAATTTGATCTACATATGCGTATGCACACACAAACACGCACACATTAGAAGAGAGAAAACCTGCAGCTGACTAAGTTTTTGTTGTTAAAAGTTTGAAATCCAACACTCATATATCAACAAAAAGTTGGACAGTTAGATTCTAACAGGTACATTCAAATTTAACCAAAAATTGACAGAATAAAATAATTATTTTCTTGCATTGTTTATTAAAGCAAAATTAGTTCTACAATTAGATCCTAATGTTTTTTTAAGATTTATATGTATATATAGAAATATATATATATATATATATATATATATATATATATATATATATATATATATATATCAAGTATGTGGTTCAGTTCAATTTAAATTACATGTAAATTACTGTTTTTGTATCAATGATTCATGTAATATATATATATATATATATATATATATATATATATATATGAAAAATTTCTCAGAGTTAACCTGTAGAAAAAGACAATATTTATAAATATAAATGACAATAGAAAACTAATAGTTGCCGACATGTTTCGTCCAATGTGGACTTTCTCAAGGCAAAAAACAAAATGATTTTATTTAAACAAAATAACTAATAATAACAAAAACAAAATGTTCTTAGTAACTGGAAAAATTTAGAGAACGCTATTTTCATACTGTTAACTGAAAATTACGTCAATTACTGTCACATGTGGAGATATTGTTATTATTGCTGTGTTAACGGATTCAACCATTTTCTTTTGACTTCATGATACTGTTGTATCATGAAATCAAAAGATAATGCTTCAGTTAACAGTATGAAAATAGCGTTCTCTAAATTCTTCCTACTTCCTTTCTCTATCTTATCCAAGCATTCCTATCATCTGCATATCTTATGTTATTAAGATTGTGCCAACTCATAATAAATCCTGTAAAACTTTTAGTTCTTTTAAGATTGCCTCACTGTAAAGGTTAAATCTACTGATAAGATGTATCCTTGTCTTACACCCTTTTCTATTTTTGTATACTTGCTCAATTCATTTTCTACCTATATGCAGGCATTTTGTTTCCAATCATTTTTCTGGATTATTATTGATAATATCATGTACTATTTTTAAGGAAGAAATGAACATTCAATTAACTATTTTTCAGATTGAGAAAATGAAACAATTATCTCCCAAAGACATGTCTTCTGGTATGGAATTTCCAAAAACTGTTCATAGTATGAACGTTTATCTTGGGTAAGTAATAGATATCTTTATAGGTATTCTGTCATTTTTTCCACCCTTTTAAAAGGATCTATTCACTTCATATCAGAATTAATCAAAATTCAGAATCATTTTACACACACACACATACATATATATTGTGGACTCTCCCATCATATTCGACATATGAGGGTTGAGCAGCTCAGTTCCTAGGAACCAACAGCCAGACACTTGCACATATGATTTGATTATAATGGTGAAGGCTTTGTACAGTACCAACCACACTTTTTGAAGGGCCAAATAGAGAGACCTGGTGCACTATGTGCCATAAGGTCCCCAAATGAACCTCTGCAGGTCTTGAATTCAGAGTTGTCATTCTCCTAGATCAGTTGCTATCCAAGGCTATAGAACCCAGTCTGTCCTGTTATTTACCCATGGCTGGAGGGAGGATTAATACCTTTCCCAAGAGTATTAGCACATAAGTGAATGTAATGGATTTGACCAGAATTTGAACTCAGCTCTCCGATTCCTCAATCTGAGCTGCTATCCACTACTCCACCGTGCCTCCTATATATAATAATAATGGACTCTCCTACCGGTTTCAACGTATGAGGATCTGACAGCTTAGTTGATTCAGTTATGAAATTTTGTGTGATAATCTTAAGTGGCATTTAAGACCCGCTAGTGATTTATAAAGGAGGCCACATATTGAGCAAGTGTGAGGATTGTGAGATGAGATCACTCTTAGATTGGCTGACCTTTTAGATCTTGCTCTCGCTTCTTGAAGATGATTCAGACAAGCAGATTGAAAACTGCTGAGTCCACTAAAACATGTTGATCTCCATTCTACCCGCCGCTCTCTCTCTCTCTCTCTATATATATATATATATATATATATATATATATATGTGATAAAATACAATTTTAAGGTATGCTACATTTATAGGTTAAAGTGCTCAATATCAGGGATAGAGCCTATATAAATATAAATTTTCAGGCTGTATATATTGCATTTTTGCTTGACTTTTTACATATACAGGTCAGTGACACATTGTGGCTAGTCTATTGTATTATTCTAATGGTTTTGTTACATGTGGTGTGTTAATTTGTTTATTATTCACTTAGTTCATTTACTTATTTATTTGTTTGGGTTAATTTATTTTACTTGTTTTTGTTGGTTTATTTAATTTCATTTATTCTTGTTTTCATTTTTTGATTTTTAAGAAACATAGTAAAAATTTGTTTTATGTCTGCATTTTGAGATGGCTTCTGAATGATTGTTTTGATCTGGGAAAGTAATTATAGCTATTTTTTTCCTCTGGGCAGAGTTTATAGTTCTTGGATTGGTTGTTGTAGGCTGATGTTCTTTTGCTTATTTTCCTTGATATTTTTGGTGAGATTTATCTTTTGTTTTTTAATAATATATATATATATATATATATATATAAATTTCAAAATACAACTGGTGTTTTTAAGAATATTTATTTAGAGTAACTTTATCGGTTTCACAGCTGTATTATTTTCAGAAGTTTAATTGAGATAGAAAGATTCTGGCTATGCCATGATCTGTTTTGCATTACATCACTCCATCTCAATTTAACTTTTGAAAATCATAGAACTGCAAAATCAGTAAAGTTACTCTACAGTTGTATTTTGAACTTCTTTTTCCTATGTGGGATTTATAAAAAAAAAATGTGTGTGCGTGTATAGATAATAAAGGGCCAAAAACACCTTATATAACTATAAGTATGATTATACATATAATCACACTTCCGCTTTCAAGGGGAAAAATGAAGGTACAATACAAAACTGGTAGACCATTTGGAAATTTAAAGGATGAACATGCGGAGTATCTTAAAAAAAAGTCAGACCAAGCAGAACAAGTGATAGAAGTTGTAGTCTATGCCAGGAAGAGAAGCTGGCTGTAGCAACTTATAAGAACAGCTGTATGTTGTTAAATAGCAGAACTAAAATAATGTCCACCTGTAGACATATAAGTAAAAACATTCTTGGTCTCTACTTCCCTGGCTGAAGAAGAATTTTTTTTTTACACCTACTACTCTTCTCAACTTCCAGTGCCATATCTGAATAATTGTAGTATGGTATTACAAACACTTATTGCCTACCAACTGAAGAGACCTGATGGTCAAAACAAAGGTTGTGTGTAGTTAAATGTGTTTTTATCACTTTATTATATTTACTTGCTCTGCATGTTCTTTTTCAAGACAGCTGCATTGGGCTCATTTTGATATAAGTCCAAGAAAAAGTGCTCAGTGTTAAATAACAGAGCTATTTAATATATATTGATTATCAAGTGTATGTATGCCAGCATTTCATAATTACTTAGGCATGAAACTCAGAGTTATGCAATCAATGTAAGGTTTTTTGTATATTCCTTTATATATATATATATATATATATATATATGTATAATTAATATAAGTAAAAGTTTGTCACTTAACTGATTGATGTTACCTTCAGCATCCCAACTCCAGAGTTTTGTAGACGGACATGTCCATCCACTCTTCAGTGAGTATCAGCTATAAAATAGAAGCTAAAGCTTTAAATAAACAATATCTGAGGGCTGAATGTCAAAGTTGACAGAGCTTAAATATATTATAACAATATTATTAATACCATAATATCAAAATCATATAAGTCAGATTATAAATATTGGTTTCATATTTTATCTACCTGATGATTGTGTCATCACATGAAATCCAAAGAAGTGGATTTTGATATTACTTTATTAATAATATTGTTATTATAATAATTGTGTGTGTGTGTGTATTTGGCCACAATCCCTCTTTTGTATAATTTTTCTTACTTACAAAAGTACTGCAATTAAGCTTTTTATTCAATTTTTCTTGCATTCATATATGTGTTTTTGTTTCTAGATATAAAATGTGTAAAAACTGTCCAAATCTATATATTCAAACACTTTCAGCTATTCTATTAAACACTAGCAGTAGAGCCCGGCATTGCCCGGGGATGTAACAGTATAAGATAGATCAAGTATCGACCATCATAAAGACTGAAAAATAAAATTGACAAAGATTATTGACAAAGATTATTATATGCAAGGTTGACGGACACGCATGTCTTAATTAGTTTTTTATTTTTTATTTTATTTTTTTTACGAATTGGTCAAATCCAAATTCAAACAAAAACATTGTTTTCAATCGTTGTGAGTCTACCGATTGAATAGAATTTTATTATAAACAATTGTCTTGTAAATGGAATTTTTAAAGCATTCTGAATGTAAAAATAAAGAAAAAAGTGTGTAGACAATAAGAAACACTACCTGCCAAAAAAAAAGTGAAGTTTTGTTGAAATCGGTTGAAAAATGTAGGAAATCCGATCCCATATATAAACACACACACACACACACACACACACACACAAACAAATTAGGTTTTATATTAAGTATAACTCGATATGAGTTGTCCCCTTTCATTCTCGCAACAGCGATGTCTCTTAATCGTGTTTTCAAATTGATTTTGTGCAAAACCATTGTGTTTTTCCAATTTTTGGTGCTGTCAGAACCACCGCAAGGTAATTTTACATAGTCCTGTGAAGTTTTGTTGAAATCAGTTGAAAAATGTAGGAAATCCGATCCAATATATAAATGTACAGACACACACACACACACACACACAACCTTAGTTTTATAATAAGTATGATTATCAAGAAGTTTTTTTTTTTTTAACTGAGTATGTAGATTTTTATATATATGTATCTATAGTGATGGGAATGTTTTCTTATCTGACAAACATGGTCAGCACATTGCAGCCATGTTCATAGTTGATATTATTGAGTGTTGGCTTTTTCTTTTTGTTATTATAAATGCCTCTGTTATTTGTAACCATGTTTCACATGTGGATGAGTCTATTGTGGTTGTATTTTCCATTTATGAGATATAAGATCTCTTTTTTAAAAAGTACATATTTTTTCATTTGTTCAATAAAAGTTTCATATATTTGTTTTGCATTCTGTGTAGATTGTTTTAATTGTGTTTTTCCTATTGTTATTAATTGCAACAAAAATATTTTTACCATAGTTTCCCCCCACTTTTAAAAGATCATTTTTTGCATATATAAATAAGCAAATATATACAATTTTTAAAATTTTTTATATATATACATCCCAGTTTCATATATGTTGATTATTGGAAGAAAACATCTTAAATGACATATTTGTACATGTACTGAATGAATATATGACCAGATGACCTCTTCCACTTGTATGGTCTAGGCAGATAGCATTGATGGTCAGTTCCTGTTGACAGCCATTTTGAGTGGTTTACATGTAGACACTATTGCTGATAAGAAGTTGCTTATAGGGAAAGGTTCTCTTTTATCTTACAGAGCAGGTCCTATTGAAAAGGCTCTTGACCTTGGTGCTGATATTGTTGTGACTGGCAGATGTGTGGACAGTGCTTTGGTCCTTGGACCTCTCCTTCATACTGTAAGTATTAACCAATCAGTTTGTTTCTTCCTTCTTTTTTTTTTAATTTTTCTCTTTTTCTTATTTTGTTCACAATTCTTTTACTGATTGCATGAATAGTATTGTTTTCTTATTTTATATTTTCTCACTTGTCTATGTCTTGATATTTTTAATTTAATCATTATTTTTGAGTTCTTAAATTGCTTCCCTATTTTTTTATTTCTGTATATTTATTATATTCTTTTAATAAAGAGTTTATCATATTTAGTACTTATTTGGTTTCAATCTTAGTCAAATGTTATAGTGAAGACAAGGCAGACAAACGAAACAGCAAGTAACAGACCTAATGAGCTTATGTAAATGGATGCCAGAACAAGGACTAATAGGATAGTAAAAAGACAAACAAAGCTAAGAGCTACAAAAAATAGGAAGTTGTGGAGAGACATGTCCTGAAGGAACAAAAGGAAATAGTGAGTAACTGACCTAATGAGCTTGTGTAAAGGAATGGCACAACATGGTCTAATAGGATAGTAAAAAGACAAACACAGCATAGCTATGAAGGATAGGAAGTTGTGGAGAGACATGTTCTGAAGGAGCAGAAGGAAATAGTAAGTAACCAACCTAACAAGCTTGTGTAAATAGATGGCAGAATATGGACTAGTAGGATAGTAAAAAGACAATGCTAAAAGCTACAAAAGATAGGAAGTTGTGGAGAGACATGTCCTGAAGGATTGGGGGGGATAGCAAGTAACCAACCTAACAGGCTTGTGTAAATAGATGGCAGAGAACATGGACTAGTAGGATAGTAAAAAGACAATGCTAAGAGCTACAAAAGATAGGAAGTTGTGGAGAGATATGACTTGAAGGAACAGAAGGAAATAGTGAGTAATTGACCTAATGATCTTGTGTAAATGATAGTCTAACATGGACTAGTAGGATAGTAAAAAGACAATGCTAAGAGCCACAAAAGATAGGAAGTTGTGGAGAGACATGACTTGAAGGGACAGAAGGAAAAAGTGAGTAACTGACCTATTGAGCTGTGTAAATGAATGGCACAACATGGTCTAATAGGATAGTAAAAAGACAATCCTAATAGCTACAAAAGATAGAAAGTTGGGGAGAGACATGTCCTGAAGGATTGGGAGGGAAATAACAAGTAACCAACCTAACAGGCTTGTGTAAATAGATGGCAGAACATGGACTAGTGGGATAGTAAAAAGAATGCTAAGAGCTACAAAAGATAGGAAGTTGTGGAGAGACATGACTTGAAGGAACAGAAGGGAATAGTGAGTAACTGACTTAAAGAGCTTGTGTAAATGAATGGCACAACATGGACTAATAGGATAGTAAAAAGACAAACAATGCTAATAACTACAAAGGACAGGATGCTGTGGAGAGACATGTCCTGAGGGGGCAGATGAAAACAGATGGATGGAGCTTGTATAAATGAATGGCAAAATATAGAGTGATAAAGATAGTAAAAAGCAAACAATGCTAAGAGCAACAAAGGATAGGAAGTTGTAGAGAGCCATGATCACCCATATCCTAAGGAGACATGACAAATAAAAGAAGTTTAAAGCAAATTTCACCTGATGATATGTTGAAAAAATGGATAGTAGAAGCAAGGGTTGGAAAAATCGTAAAAAAACAAACCCAGAATAGGAAAATGTGGAGAGCCATTATTGCTTACATCCTGAAAAGATATAGTACTTAATAGAAGAAGAATATGCTACTTTTTGCTTACCTTTTTCCTATATATATTTTTATCATTTGTTACAACCTTTAGCAAACTGTATGTAGATGATTACATTTGTCATTATTGTGCTGCAGCACGGCAGTTGAGTACTAGGGGATTAGAATATACAATCCTCTTAAGTGTGCCATGAAATATTGTCACAGCATATATCTATATATATATATATATGTATATATATGTGTGTGTGTGTGTGTGTGGAAGTAGTACAGCATTAATATTTGAATAAATGAATATGTTTTAAACACTATTTACATTGCTTGGACTATCATCCTCATCTTTGTTGCCATATTTAGCACAATGTTTCAGCCGTTGTATGCTCCGGCCTTCTTCAGGTGGTTGGAATGTTAAACTGAACCCTTTATTTTGCTCGCTGGGGTAGACTGTTCTAGTTCCACATGCCATGTCTAATGGATGTCAGTTATCAGTTATCTCCTGTTAATTCCCCTCTCCAAGTTCTCCACCACCTTAACCAGGTATTGAACTCACACTCTTTGGCTCCTGTCACTGGATCTAATTAAACCATGGCACAGTCATTGGGTCCTGTCACTGAATCTAACTAACACATGGCACAGTGGATAAAGGCATTAGTTAGATCCAGTGACATAATCAAGATTCTGCTGTTCCACACTACTTCAAACAAAAGGTTGGGAAGGAAACCCCCCATCAATACTGAAAAAGGCATTTGACTTGAGAAATCTGTTTTCCTGAAAAATTGTTTTAAGAAAAAGATTTTGTAAATTTCAACTGATATAGTACTGGTTAATTGTTCAATGAATGCCAAATGTTTCCTTATAAGAAGCAGCTAATATCACCATTATTATTAATCATTGAAATCAAAAAATTTTAAAACAGTTTAAATTGACTACGGTCTCTGATTCAAATTTAAATATTGATTTTTTATAACAGTTCAAATACAAAAAGAATGATTTTGACCTACTTGCATCTGGTAGGTAAGTGAAACATTTTTTTATTAGAAAATTTATTTCTATAACAATTCATTGGGATAAAAAGACTTTTTTGCATAAAATATTAAACAGAAGTATTGAAAAAGTAACAACATTGAAGAAATTTATTTTTCAACAATCTAAGTAAAAGTAGCAAAGAATATTCTTATTTCTCTGTATCTAATATAATCAAATTATTTAGTGTTTATTTTATCTTTCAGCTAACTTTTGGTAATATTTTTTTATATACTTATATATCATGTGATTTTTTTGAAGCCCTAATTTTAAGGGGGTCACATCATATATGAGATATAAAATTAGCATATATACTGCTGGTCCTTGCTACACTGTTGACCAAACTATATATCTATTGCAACTGTATTTAAAATAAACATAGCACGTTACATGAGTATATACAATAATTTGGATATACTTTTAAGTAAATGTTAAGAACTCTAATCAAATAAGACCTAATAAAGGAACAATAAAACTAAAGTATTAAATGAAAGAATAGATAAAAAAAGCATATAAAAATAATATCTGAATATAAAAATTAATGAAATACATTTAATCATCAAACAAAAAAAATATTAAATTATTCATTGCAGGGAATGCTTACTATATCTTTTTTAACATTTTGAGTATTGTATTATTTTGATAAATATAAATTCACTTTTATATATCAAAGCTCTCTTTATATACTGACAATATATAAGCATATGATCTATATTTTAGTCTTGCTGGTCACATAGTAGAATGTGGAGCTCAAGCTACTGGAGGTAACTTTAGTGACTGGCATACAGTTAAAAACTGGTGAGCTATTTTTCATTGTTCTAATTTCTATTATTAATAATTTCTATTATTAATAATTTCTATTATTAATAATTTCTATTATTAATAATTTCTATTATTAATAATTTCTATTATTAATAATTTCTATTATTAATAATTTCTATTATTAATAATTTCTATTATTAATAATTTCTATTATTAATAATTTCTATTATTAATAATTTCTATTATTAATAATTTCTATTATTAATAATTTCTATTATTAATAATTTCTATTATTAATAATTTCTATTATTAATAATTTCTATTATTAATAATTTCTATTATTAATAATTTCTATTATTAATAATTTCTATTATTAATAATTTCTATTATTAATAATTTCTATTATTAATAATTTCTATTATTAATAATTTCTATTATTAATAATTTCTATTATTAATAATTTCTATTATTAATAATTTCTATTATTAATAATTTCTATTATTAATAATTTCTATTATTAATAATTTCTATTATTAATAATTTCTATTATTAATAATTTCTATTATTAATAATTTCTATTATTAATAATTTCTATTATTAATAATTTCTATTATTAATAATTTCTATTATTAATAATTTCTATTATTAATAATTTCTATTATTAATAATTTCTATTATTAATAATTTCTATTATTAATAATTTCTATTATTAATAATTTCTATTATTAATAATTTCTATTATTAATAATTTCTATTATTAATAATTTCTATTATTAATAATTTCTATTATTAATAATTTCTATTATTAATAATTTCTATTATTAATAATTTCTATTATTAATAATTTCTATTATTAATAATTTCTATTATTAATAATTTCTATTATTAATAATTTCTATTATTAATAATTTCTATTATTAATAATTTCTATTATTAATAATTTCTATTATTAATAATTTCTATTATTAATAATTTCTATTATTAATAATTTCTATTATTAATAATTTCTATTATTAATAATTTCTATTATTAATAATTTCTATTATTAATAATTTCTATTATTAATAATTTCTATTATTAATAATTTCTATTATTAATAATTTCTATTATTAATAATTTCTATTATTAATAATTTCTATTATTGATATTGACTCATTTGGAGTATCTTTGTCTGACATTCCATTTAGAACTGATTCTCAACTGTGTGATATACATATAACTCCATCCATGTTTTCTGTTATCATCTCTAAATTGGATCTCCACAAAGCATGTGAACTTGATGGTATCAGTAGTCATTAGGAAATGTGCTTCTGAACTGGCTCCTGTTCTCTCTAAACTCTAAAATAAATCCCTTGCTGCTTCTTGCTTTCCTGTGCTGGAAATCCTCTTCTGTTGTTCTAGTCTTTAAGAACTCAAGTGAACTCTGATCCTTCTAAATTGGGCTATTAACCTTCTAATTCTTTTTGGTAAAGTACTAGATCTAATCAATTCCAAATTGGTTAAATATTTCACTTCACGATGTCTACTTTCAGATAAGCAATATCGTTTTGCTTCACTAGGTCAACTGATGATGTGTTAATGGCTATTGCTGAGAGAGTCTATCAAGCTTTAGAAAAGAATGGTGAATCTCAGACTGTTGTCTAAAGCATTTGACAGGCTTTTATTATTCCAATTTCTATTACTGATATTATTTGATTTAATGTTAATTTTTCAACAATGATCATTCCTTTGTTTTATACAGGGTGTGATGGGTAAATTGTCATCTAAATTACACAAAAATGAAAATAACAATGACATTTCATTTTAACAGATATATTTAACAAAATTCCACAAAAATATCTTGAAATACTAAAGAGTACATTTATTCAATAAAATTGCCACTAGCTTCAACCACAGCCTCCAGACAACTTCATAATCTTGTGCAAATCTTCTGGACAGTGTACTTGTTTACACTGCCATAATCCTTGCCTTTAGTTCATCTTTGGTATTACAAGGAGTTTTGTTGGTCTCTCACTCATCTGTGCCCCACACATAATAATCAAGGGAATTGCAGTCTGGGGAGTTAGATGGCCAGATGTAAGGAGTGATCTTGTCACTGAAATTGTATGACAGCCTTGACTGGGTTCTCCTGCTTGTGTGGAATGGTGCAGAGTCCTGTTGCTAGACATAGGGTCTTCCAGCAGCTACCTTCTTTACCCAGGGCAGCACTACCTCCTCAAGGCACTTGATGTAGGCCTCCGTATTAAGTCTTGAGGCCTTGTGGGAAGATGAATAGAGGCATAACGTCGCTATCATCAGTGCTCACTCCAAACACCTTCGTAATCACCATTAGACTCATCCAACGCTTTTCAAATCCTCTGCACTGTCCTCAGATTGACACACAAACACCCTGAAACATTCATATTGGAGCTTCTGGCATGAATGACAAGCAGCACGGCATGCCATTTTCAAATTTCTGGCAGAGTGAATTGCATTATGGTGCTCTTTTTCTCACAAACAGCGTCCAACTGACCTTACTATACTGTGCAGTCAACAAAATCAAAAGCAAACAATGTACATATGCAAAATTAAAAATATAACATGGCAAGAATTTACCCATCGCACATTGTAGGTATAAGTAGTATGGACATATCAGCAATCTTATATATCTCTTTCTTATTGTATTCATGCTCTAGTGGTCATACAATTCTGTCCTAAATTTCTAATTTCTGTTTGTTTTAATCATTTCACCCCAAGTAAAGCAATAAAGTCACTAAGATACAAGGGATTACAAGACTCTAAGAAAAAGAAAAACATTATTAAGGAGAGAGAACAATAAAAGAACAGGAAAATTTTAGAAGATCAAAGTTGATTTGAAAGTAAGAAGCTGCAAAAGAGTTCCACAAGCAAGAGTTGTGAGATGAGAAACTGTCAGTGTAGAACTTATTTCTACATCTATCCATTTCAACTTTAAAATGATGAGACTTAGCTGCCAGTCTAGTACTCATAAAGATTAGGTATCAAAGAGGAAAGCTCAACAGAATAATTACCATAAAAATATCTATAGAAAAAAAGCCAAGGAAGCTATATTACAATGGTGGGAAACTGACTGAAGTGGAGATGCCAGGTCAGGACCAATAACATTGCAGATTCTTCTTTAGATTCTTAGCAGAATCACCAAACCAGATGTGACAGTAATATTCAGTGCAAATAGTTGATTTAAAAATGTGTAAAATAGATACTAGTAAGAAAAATTGTTTAGTACAATGCAGTGGAGCAACTTTCCTAGCAATGGACTTAGCAAGTGATTCACTATAAATTTTCCACTTCATGTCAGTGGAAAACATTCCAAGTAGGCAAAGGTGAGTCACTCTCCTGGGGGTTAGAATGAGCCATGTTCATGAAAGGCAAAAAAGATTCTCTAAGATGATTAAAAGAGAACAGTTTCATAATAAGAAATTGTCTAATAAAGACTTTTCATTTCCTTTCTGTTCAATAGCCACTTAATTATAATTTTTTAATACAATGACTAGATTAATACAAAATTCAGTTAGTTTAGCTGGATGTTGTACTTGTTTTTCTAGTTGCTAAAGGATCATCATCATAAATTGTTATATTCTGTGCTAAGGGAATAAATACTTAACACCAGGTGGATAATAGAAGAAAGGTTTATTGTACACAATCAGTACAATATGAAATACAGTACAGTTATAAAACAGAGGTCAATCTAGTAGTAAGTGCCACTAATTGGAAGGTCAGACATGATTGCGTCTTCACACTCTCACTCTTCTTTAAGTCTCTCGTAGACAGTGGACTTTAAAGTTACTTACTACCTATAGTGTAATCATTCATGGGGGTGACTAGTTATTCCATTACATCATAAATGAAAACAAGCACAGAGTAGAAGAAATATTTCAACCTTGAGTTCAAAATCATTTATTCTGTCTTGTGGGTAGATGATTTATTTTCCACTTAGTAATCTCTTTCCCACAAATACCAGGCGCTGTAAGCTTGGATGTGCAGCTGGTGTAATAATAATGGCTCAAAATTTATTAATCAGAGAGCTGAGTTCCAATTCCTATTGGGTTCATTATTTTCATTTAATGAACTTTGAAATCTTATTAATGTCATATATGGTGAACAACAAAATTTTATAATAGTTGAAGACATATTTTCCTTGTTTTTTTCTTCTGAATGAAAAATCACTTATGGCCACATCATGGTGAAATATCGGTTCCTGCACTATCACCAATTTTTTATCAACATTGAGCCTGGTTAATAACTACTTGGGTGACCACTTGGGAATACCAGGTGCTGTAATAGATAATGGCTTGGAATTGTTATTCAGAAAGCCAAGTTCCAATTCCGGTTGTATTCATTATATTCACTTATGTGCAATTACCCTTGGGAAAGGTATGAATCCACTTCTCCTCCCCCTAGCTATGGGTTAATTAGTAAGACTTGTATCACTAAATCATCATTATTAAAAAAAAAAAAACTTTACAATCTAAAAATATTTTCTGGCTTTAAATAACCTGCAAAAGCCATGGGAAACAAATCAACCAATCGATCAAACAAAAGTGTTTTAAGTTTGAAATGTCCACTATGTTATAATGTTACATTGTATCAATGTTGAGACTATTCTAAGACTATCTAGCACCATGAAAAATAAATTAACTATTTGATTAGCCCAAAAGTAAAGTTTATAAAATTTGATATTTAAATCACTCATTTTTTTTTTCTATTTATTACAAAATTTGTAAAAGTTTTCTTTTTATAATCTAATATGGAAAATAATTAAAAAAAGGTTTTAACTCTGTTCTTTTTTTCTTTTATCTTCAAGGGATACAATTGGTTTCCCAATTGTGGAATTTTCAGAGGATGGCTCTTTTCTTGTTACCAAACCCCAATCAACTGGTGGCTGTGTCACAAGAGCCACTGTTTGTGAACAAATGTTATATGAAATTGGAGATCCTAAGAGATATCAATTACCTGACGTAACAGCTGATTTTAGCCAAGTGCAGATAAAGGAAATTGGTTAGTATCTATATATGGATAAACCTAATGTTCACTTTTAGAAAAAAGATTTTACAGAATTTAGACATAAATTGACCTTACTGATTGCATTAAATAATAAAGATTGATGAACCAATTTATAACACTAATTATACATTAATTAATTATACATTTCAAGACCAATAAGCAAATAATCAAAAAGAAAATTTTTTCATTTTTTAAGCAGTTATTGCATACCAGAATGATTCAGTGATGTCTATTCTGGGGTCATAGAAAGTTTTGGGCCTCCATAACATCAGACGTTCTCTCCTATGAGCTCAATCATTTCTTGACTAGCATTCTGGCATAGCTTCTGCATGATTGCAAAAACTGTAAACAATATTTGTGCCTACACAAATGCAATCCTTTTATTCAATTCCATGTAGGATTTCTGACCAATCAGTATTTGTTTAATTTTCTTCTGGCTATTAGTGTTTTTGGCCAATCAGAGTGGCAGATTCCATTTTATATTGAAATGAATCCTTAAAAGAGCTTATTGAATGTGTTATGAATAAAAAAAAACTGCAGAAGTTTTTCACGAACTTTATTATAAAAGTTTAAATGATTTTTCATACATACATGCTTGAAATTAATTTATGTCTAGCGTAACTGGACTAAATGAAATGTAATCAATTTGAATATTTAAAAAAGAGCTGATCTTATGCAACAAATACTATATGTATAGATATTTTTAGTACAGTTAAAAGTAATTTAACATATTTAACTTTTATAATGCTCATTTATACTATTAATATTTAACTATATCATTTATAGAGCAATCATTATGTATAATAATATTAACATTTTGAACTTTTAAACTATTTTCTCAGCTAAAGTCTTTCATTTATTCCACACATTTTCATCATGTCACAAGTCTCCTAGCCCATTAGAGTCATAGAAGTACCATATGTATTGCCACCATAACAGCCATGGTGTGTCTAGGGTAAGATATCTTGATGGAGCCTAAAGATACACTTTATCATATACTCATTAGACAAAAAAATGTGTAAAAAGTTTTAATTTTTTAATTATAAGTTTTTTTATCCTTTTACTCCAAACAAGGTGATAAAGCCACTAGAATGTAGGGGGTTACTGGGAGTGAAAGTGAATTAATTGTTTTTTTCAGATTTCAACTTAGTGAAGTTCATTTTTTCTAATTACATGTTTGTGAAGAAGGGAAAATTTACAGATTTTTTTTGTGTAAAAAAAATCAATTACTCTTCTTTCTCTCCTCAATAATGGTTTTATTTTCTCATATTCTTTCATACTCAGTAATCCCTTGCATCTTAGTGGCTTTATTGCCTTTATTGAAATCAAATAACTAAAAAAGATAATCTGTAATTTATTTGATTATAAAATTTAGGTAGCAAAAATATTTCATGCCATTAAAGCTGAACAGTAAGGAGTAGATAATGTTGTGAAAGTTCATTTTAACAGTTCTTTCAGCTTTGATATCACTTTCCTTTAAAGCTATCTAATAAGGACTAACTATGAGCCAAAGAGAACCATCTAAATCTAAGTAACAAGAAGACATTCTTACAAGAGAAAAATAAGTGATCAGGAAAAATCACAGAAGGTTCATAAGATGCACTTTGTTAGGATAGGAAAATATAACTTCAGATTGAGGATAGGAAAAAACAGAAAAATATAAGTAATATTTTAATTTATTTAATATATCTTAATACAATAAGTCATATTTAATTAATAAGAATGAAGTAATATTTTAATTTGCTAAATATTGACAGTATTCTACTGTCAACAGTTGTATTTAATTCATAATAAATAAATTTTAATATTGTCGATAGAAGTTATATTTTTCTTATTCACAAGTCTGAAGTTACAACTTCTTATCTCTGAAAATAAAAAGTAAAGCAAATTATTTTAATATATTCTTTATAATTCTTTCTAGTTATTTGATAAAATTTAAATAAAAATGTGTGTGTGCAGTTGAAACTATATGAATTTTGATCCAGTAAACACTTAAAATATTTTCTCAATTTGGTTAACATTATAGAAATATTGCAAATATTTTCCTAAAAAATTCATATAATTTAAACTAGAATAAGAAAATAGGTTATGAACATTGCCATTTATATTTAAAAGAATCCATGACAAAATTCCAGTAGATAAAAACTCAGTCTCATGAATAAGTCTCAGATATAAAAAGAAACAAATTTAACATTGAAAATTCAAGGGACTTTTAATCTAAATTTTAATGTCAAATGAGACAATAATAATAAAATAAAAATATATACATATACATAAATGGATCATAAATTTGTGGGCAGGAAATAAGTGTATATATTGGATATTGCGTTCATTGTTCCAATTTGACATTGGAATGGATATTTTACATATATAATAAGTGTATATATTGGATATTATTATTATTATTATTATTATTCCAATTTGACATTTTGAGTGTATATATTAGATATGGTATTTATTGTCTCAATTTGACATTGGAGTGTATTATTGTACATAAGTGTACATAGTGGATATTATTATAGTCTGAATTTGACATTAAAATTTGAATTAAAAGTTCCTTAAATTTTCTGTATTAAATTTCTTTCTTTTTATGACATTTTTATTTATGAGACTCAGATTTTGCTACTAGTCTTATTTATAAAAAAAAATGTCTGTTTTATTCTCTATCCTCAAATTGAGTTATACAGTGTAACCCGGATATAAGAGACCCGGATATAAGAGAAACCCGGATATAAGAGACTTCTTCTCCGGTCCTGACAACTCTCTTATATCCGGGTTACACTGTATATTTTTCCTGTCCTAACAAAGTGCATCTTAAGAATTTTCTTCCATGATTTTTTCCTTTTCTTACCTTTTTATGTTATTATGATGTTACTTTTTATAAACTATAAAGAACATTTTGATGAACAATACAATTAAATTCTTCAAAAACTCAAATTGTATCAGCTAAATCTATATTGGATATAGATTTATTTCAAAAGAAAGTAGAAACTCAACAACTTCAGACTTAATAAACTAATGTACATTTTGATCCTACCCTATTTTGAAATAAGTATACTATTACTAATTAGAATTTATAATGATTGTCTATAATGTTTTTATTACATTAAAAAAAAATTGATAAATCCAAGATATATAAACAAAAATTTATAAAATGGGTCAATTTAAAAAAATAAAATAAATATCTATGCTCAGGGCCAGTGCAAGGGTCTTGTGCCTCCCACCTCAAATGTATACTATGGGGCCCCCCACTCTACTACATCTCAATTTTCATAAGGTAGTATTCATATTAAGTACAAATTTTATTGTAACCTAATTATGTACAATAATGGATCCTATGCAATATAGGTGAAGAATTCAAACTAGAAAAATCGAAAATAAATATAATCTATCTCAATACGAATTAGAGATATATCATAATAGATCATTCCATCTTAAATAAATCAACAATGTTTTGCAGCAATTTTTAATATCAACTTAAGACTTTTCTTGTTAAAAAGTTGAAGAATTTTAAGATTCAACATTATGGATAAAAATAGTGAATTTTATATTGTGTGTTTTTCAAGACTTAGTATGAATAAAACAAATTCACAGAGTTAGATGAAAATAAAACCCTAGAATGACATCAAAATCTACAAAAATTTTCATCGTTTATTAGATAATTGTGCTTTGTTTATTTGTAATGTATATATATGTGAGTAGAAAAAAAGCAAATATTGATAAGCTATCAAGGGTCACAAAGCACTGTTTGGGGCTTGTTGGCAGTACACAGTGGCCATGTTTATACTGTTACTTGTAAAATAGGCATATTTTGAAAAGGTTTTTTTATCATTACTAATTATAACTTATGGTAATTGATTTTTAACCTTTAGTATTAATTTAGTTTAATATTTACTATTATTTCATTTAAGAAACACTATTAAAATCCAAGATGATATATTATTTAGTTAAAAATTCAAGAAAATAACTTATTTATAAAATGGGTTAAATTGACCTATTTTAAATATGTGTACTACTTTGGGATATGTTAAAAAAATCATAATTATTTCTACTTATTAGTCCTTTCAGGTGTAAAATATTACATTATTAACCTTTATCAGAATTTTGTACAAATGATATTTTAGTATTTTTTTAATGACTTTATGAAGCATTTACTAAAAACTACTCTTTAGATCCAATTCATTTTTAAATATGATGTAAGTTGTTTAAGCCTGGAACAAAAATATATATTTTTTCTTTTACAATGATGTTCACCTTCTATAAGGCCCAAGAGCCACTCGAGGTAGTGGGTTACAGAATAAGTTTATGCAGATATGTGGGGAAGTTAACGGTTAACCCTAATCTTGAACAGGTTAAGATTTTAGTGACTGAAGAAGCATCCACTTGGGAGTCGGTTCCACAAAGTACCAGTTTGTGGGAAGAAGGTGCTTGAGTAAAATTTACATCTCACTAATGGAATATGAAGGGAATGAGGATTGTTCATCACAATGTGCAGGACATAGCGGGTCTTAGCCATGAAGGTTAGAACTGGTGGAACTAAGGAATGTAGTTCATCTGAACACTTTCCATGGAAATAGCAATAGAGTAGCAAGAGGCTTACGATGTTTCATCTGCAGAAAGGGATTTTAGGGTGGAAGATAATTCACCACCCACAAGGACATGGAGACACTTTTGGACTCTATGTAGACTGGAAAGTGAAGACTGGGTAGCTCCTGCCCATATATGGCAACAATACTCCATTTTGGGACTGATCTGGAACTTGTAAAGCAATGGTTCATGAGAAGAAGTTACCTACATCTCTACAATTTGTGTGACATAGCGGGTCTTAGCTGTGAAGGTTAGAACTGGTGGAATTAAGGAATGTAGTTCTTCTGAAAACTTTTCATGGAAATAGTGTTAGAGCTTAGAGAGATTTGCAACATTTCATCTGTGCGAAAGGTGGAAACAGTAGTGTGTAGAAGGGTGAGCAGAGGTTGCAAAAGCCCTGGGCATCT